TGAAAATTTGGAGACATTATCTTCTGGGAACAAAATGTCAGATTTATACTGATCATAAAAGTTTACAACATTTGTTCAACCAGAAGGATTTAAATATGCGACAACGCCGATGGATCGAATTAGTCAATGATTATGATTGCGAAATTCTTTACCATCCGGGAAAAGGTAATGTGGTGGCTAATGCTTTGAGCAGGAAATAAAGAAGTGGAACCATCAAGACTGTGTCTATGAGAATGAATGTGATTCCTGATATTCGTAAAGAAATTCAGCAATGTCAACAAGAAGCTGTGAAAGCAGAATTTGTAAAGACAGAAAAGTTGGGTAAAATGATCTCAATTTTGAAACAGAATGATGAAGGACTTATGTGCTTTCAAGGACGAATTTGGGTACCAAATTTTGGAGACATCTGAAATAGGATATTGAACGAAAGTCATAAATCCCGATACTCTATCCATCCAGGTACCAATAAGATGTATTGAGACTTAAAACCCTTTTATTGGTGGCCAGGAATGAAAAGAGATATAGCACGGTATGTGGAACAGTGTCTAACGTGTTTACAGGTCAAGATTGAACATCAGAGACCTTATGGAAGCCTTCAATCTTTGGAGATACCTGTATGAAAATGGGATCACATTACCATGGATTTCGTTATGAAATTACCGCGAACACCAAAAGGATATGACGCGATTTGGGTAATTGTGGATCGTTTATCTAAATATGCACATTTTCTACCGATAAGAGAGAGATACTCTTTAGAAAAGCTAGCGCAGATTTACATTAAAGAGATTATTACTAGACACGGTGTTCCCTTGTCTATTATCTCTGATAGAGATAGCCGATTTACTTCAAAATTTTGGGGAGGATTACAGAAAGCTCTGGGGTCCAAAATTCGACTTAGTACAACTTATCATCCACAGACTGATGGACAGAGTGAAAAGAATATTCAAACTCTAGAAGATATGTTAAGAAGTTGTATTATCGACTTCGGAGGATCATGGGAAGATCATTTACCATTAATAGAGTTTGCATATAATAACAGTTATCATTCCAGTATCCAAGTGGCACCATATGAAGTGTTGTATGGATGTAAATGTCGAACGCCGTTGTGCTGGAATGAAGTGGGTGAAAAACAGCTAACAGGTCCTGAGATTGTTCAAGAAACTTCTGAAAAGATCGAATAGATCCGTGAGAGAATCAAAACAGCACAAGATCGCCAGAAAAGCTATGCTGATAATTGTCGGAAATCCATTGAGTTTGAAGTAGGCGATTTTGTAATGTTAAAAATTTCACCATGGAATGGTGTTATCAAATTTGGGAAGAAAGGAAAGCTCAGTCCAAGGTATGTTGGGCCATTCAGAATATGCAAGCGAATTGGGCCAGTAGCATATCAGTTAGAATTGCCGGAAGAGCTGAGTCGAATTCACAACACTTTCCATGTGTCGAATTTGCAGAAATGTTTGCTGATCCGAATTTAGCTGTACCATTGCCAAAGATCCAACTAGACAATAAATTGAACTTTATGGAAACACCAGAAGCCATGATTGACAGAAAGATCAGGGTGTTGAGAAACAAAGAGATAAGTCTGGTTAAAGTACAGTGGAAGTTTCACAAAGAACCGGAGGCGACATGGGAACTGGAGTCAAAGATGAGATCAAAATACCCGTGGCTTTTTTATTAAAGAAATTCCGGGACGAAATTCTTTTGAGGGGWGGATAATGTGATAACCAGATCCTGGTTATTACCCAAGGTAATTTATACGTGAACATTTGACTAAATGATTT